GCTCCGCGTTGTTCCATGCCCGGTGCTGGTCTGCGCGTGGCTGGCAGCTGCTTTGACCAAAGCTTTTGACTGCAAAGTCGCAGAGACTTGCCACCACGTCTGCAGTAACTTGGAGTTCACACCTGACTGTCTGGCTAGAGCTCCAGCTACTGTTGCTCTGAGTTGCGTTTCTGTTGGAAAGGTGCATGCACACGCTGGGGCTTCGGGCACCTGCCACATGCAGATGGAACACTGGCAGGACGTCGGCATTTCAGCCAGGGCCTCTCGCTGAGCCACTCGGGGCTTCCCCTCTGAGAGTCTGAGCTGCCCTGCAGGGCTGGAGGGGTCTTAGGGCTGGTGCCTTTCTGAACAGCACCTAGATGAGGTGCCACTGTGGGCTCAGTCTGTCCCTGAGTCACCCCCCTCTCCGCTCCCCCTTTCAGCTTAACCACTTCCTGCCCACGATTTGTCTGAATAGCACAGTCAGAATGACATATTTGAACACTCCCCTACCATCTGGTGTCATTTCCCCTTAAGGCTGATTACCTGTCCGAGTGTCAGAATTTTGTCTTCTGGAAATCTGCAGTCCTGCCAGCGCCCCGACTCTGCTCCTTGTCAGTATCATCACCGCCATTGCTCCCGTGTCCTGGATGCTTCCTGACGCCAGGCCCTGGGCTCGGCCCTCTTTCATCCCTTTCCTCTCGAGTCCTCCCTCCCCCAAAGCCCTGGGAAGTATAGTTAGCCTTCTCGATGCACAGGTTTTACATCCGTGAATGTGAAAATATCCTTAAAAAGAAATCCCAGAAAGTTCTGAAAAGCAACCCTTGAATTTGCCACGTGCCGAGCACTTGCCCTGAGCCCACCTGGATGAAGCGATGTGTAGGCACACCTGCTCAGCCCACCTGCCAATGCAGGTTCTATGCAAATACCACGCCATGTGATATAAGGGGCCGGAGCATTGTTGGAATTTGGTGTCCGAGGGGGAGGGTGTCCAGGGACCAATCCACTTGGATGCTAAGGGACGACTGGACCGTCCTCACTTTACGGACTAGGAGAGCAGAGCCCAGGGCAGCTGCCAGGCCACCAAGTGTAAAGGGTGGAGTTGCCACTGGTCCTTAGATCCATCCGACTAGTCTGTGTGCTTGACCAGCGCCCAGGACCCCTTCCCAGGTAACTACAGGGCGTGGCAGCCGTGGCACCCCTCCCCCCCAGAGCCTCTCATTCTGCTTGGCCAGCTCGCTCACGTTTGATCATAACGAGCTCCAGTGCTTATGATAACAGCATCTTCTACCGTCTGGGTTGGGAATATTGACAAGGCAAGAGTTTGTCCAACACTATGACTTCAACCAGGTGACCATTTTAGCAGATGGATTTTGGGTCTTCCATCCCCACTGGCCACTCTGTGGGGCTGGGCGTGGCCCCTAGGTGTTACCCAGCCTGGCCATCCGGGTGGCCAGTAGGGTTGGTGAGCAGGTGTGTTTCTCCCTTTCCTCTGTCCCATTGGCCCTCCCAGGTCTTTTTTCTCCCAGGCCCATGGATTCCTTAAAGGTAGACACATTCTGACCCAGAGCTTTCTGCCTTGAGGCACATTGCTTTATTCCCCTCTGGACGATACATTCACCCCGGGGCAGCCGTCGGCAGCCCCATCCACCTTGACTGGTCTCCACAAGGCAGAGTGGGCAGGTATCTTACCACCCAGTTAGTGCCAAGCCCTGAGCCATGCTTCCTGTGCAGTCCCTGCCTGGGGGGCCCTTGGTCATTGGAGCCGAATGTCCCTAATTGATGGGAAGACCCAAGAAAGCAATAACGAGGAACTGCTATTCCAGAGACTCTTGGCAGAGAGCCTTGATGTCCCTCCTCACCTAGGTCACAGTGATGGCGGAGAGGTAGACCAAAGAGGACTCCCGGCCTCGGGGGAAGTTGTGTTTACTAAGTCCTGGTGGGATAAGTACAGTGATGTCATGGGGTCCACAACCAAAAAGATGTGGTGTAGAAAGAATGCCTTCAATCCCGGACAGGATGTCTTCGCCCAGGAGCATGCTGGGTGATTGCACAAGACGCCCCAGGAGGCTCAGGAGTCCGTGTTATTCCTCACGGTAGGCAGGGAGGGAGTTAGAAAGAGGGAAGCGTGATGACTTAGCAATGAGAACCCACAATTGTCTTGTGCATTCACAACTTCTGCCCCATTAACTGAAACCTGAGGCCGCTCTATGGTACATGAATAGCGGCATTCAAAGGCTTAGAAAAGGAAAGTTGCTTTACTTGGAAAATTGATTACAGTTGGACATCGCTCTTGCAGGAACGGAGGCAAAGGAATGGGGCTCTGGAGTCAGAGCTCGCTGGCTCTGTGGATTGAGCAATGCCTCACCTTTCTCCCTGCTTCGCTGGCTATGAAATGGGGTCATGATGGCACTCCCCCACCCCCACCCCAGGGCTGTGTGAGAGGTCATGGAGGCACCGAGCACTCAGGAGATGTGGGTTAAACAATATTGTGACATGGGCCGTATGGTAAAACGAAGGACACTCTTCATCAGGCGGCTGTGGACAAAGTCAGGGAACCTTGGATAAGATTTGTCATCTTGTGGGGAGGCTCTCTGTACGTGAGAGCTGTCTCCTTAGTTATCTGTGGTGCAGAGCTTCCTCTCCTCAGCCGAGTGAGCAGGGCCCCCGGGAGAAGACAGTTTTCTCCCATGTTCACTCCTACAGGTCACTCTTTCGTGGGTTCAATTTGGAGCCTGTCCAGAGGGGGACCCTACAATCGCATCCTAGACAGGCCCTGCCCGTGGCTGCTCAGTTTTGGAGAAAGCGGAAGAGCCCGGCCCCTTTCCTGAGTAGAAGTCGCAGGAAGATCCTCTCATAAGACCCGCAGGCTGCATGCCACAGTTAACTCCGAGGGTGCCAGAAAACCTTCCCAAAGTTTTAAGCGGGCCCAGCTGGTGTGGCTCAGTGGTTGAGCATCCACCTATGAATCAGGAGGTCACGGTTCAATTCCTGGTCAGGACACATGCCTGGGTTGCAGGCTTGATCCCAGTGGGACATGCAGGAGGCGGCCGATCAATGATTCTCTCTCATCATTGATGTTTCTCTCTCTCCCTTCCTCTCTGAAATCAATAAAAATGTATCTAGGTGGTTTTTAGAATAAGTCACTGGTCAAGGAGAAAGACACCCTTTTCCTTCCTCTTCACTCGAAGCTTGTGCTCTCTTGGGGGAGCCAGAGGAGGCGGGTCAGCAGACTGGCCGGCCGAGGAAGGAGTCCGGGCCAGGCAGTCCCCCTGGAGGCCGGCTCAGAGGGCAGGGTCCCGCGGTGTGTGCTTCCGTGTGTCTCCCGCTGTGACGGAGCCCGGCACAGGGCGGCGTTCAGTCCCTCCTGCTAAAGGAATTAATACCCTAAAATGAACCGAAGGGGTTAATACGTGAAAGAACCTGCTCCGCTGGGTTCCCTCCTCCTCAGTGAGTGGTGTCAGACACCAGGTCTTTCACAATGTGGTGTCCTCCCTGCACGTGTCCCATGGCTCACCACACGCTCGCGGCCTCCAGGCCACCCCTGAACACCTGCCTCTTCTTACTCGGCACGTCTCCTTTCCTGTGAATACCCACTCTTTCTCGGGGGCCCGACTCGGGTGCCACCACCCCATTTCTCACAGCATGTCCCTGCCCAAGTTTACTCCACAACTGACTACCCTGGTGTTATCTTCCCCGTCAGACCACGGGCTGCTGGGAAGACAGGAAGTCTTGCCTGCCACGTGCTGCCTGTATTGGAGGTGTCACAATGACGAGGGAGCCAAGAGGAGTGCAAGAGCAGGGGACACGGGTAAGTGGAGCAGCCGGTGCTGTTACTAATTCTGATCAACAAACAGGCTCAGCTGAAGCCACACAATTGAAACTCTCAGCACAGGATCCAAGGGCTGAAAACTTTTGGCCAATGGATTTTTCCATGAAATGAAAAGAAAAAAGAAATCTTATTAACTCAGTTTTGTAAGTAAAAAGCATGAGAGGTTAAATTGGGGTACAAAACATCAGGACCCAGATTTCTTTAATAATGAAATAATTTATTATTTGTTAATGGTTGAACAATACAGACGTTTACATATACACAGCAAAGGTTCTCTAAAACATGTAGTCCTTCTAAAAACGCATGTGCTAACTGTAATAAAAAGCACCATTCTCTATGTCTTGACACAGGATTTACATTGGCGGCGTATTTACATAAAGAAACATCTGGAAACAGAATTGCATACTGTCATCTCCCTGTTTAGTGTGTGTTTACCATGAGGAAAATGGCCCCCAACACTTGATGGTTAACAGCAACATTCCCAGAGCACCAAGTCTAGGGACAAGGGGGAAGGCAAGTTTGGTAAAATCAAGAATGCCCCCTCCTCCCCCCAGCCCTCTAGAGAGAATAAGAAATCAAAATAAAAGATCTGGATCAACGTTAGAATTGGGTGTCTTACTAATTCTCATTTTATGATTTTTGCGAGAAGACAAAGATACTCGATTTCCTCAGCCATTCAATAGCTGAGTAGCAGTGCCAGGCAATTATTTCTTCTTTCAGAAGAATGTAAGAAAATCGCCCATGTAATATTAATGAAAAATCATGATAAATTACATATTGCAGCCCTCCCCACAACCTTCAGGTATCTTCAAAAACAAAGAGATCTGATCAAGTAGAATGAGAAATACCAACTCATCTAAAAGGGCCTTTGGGTCATCTTCTCCCAGAAAATTTTTAAAATCATGAGTAGCCAGCTACCTAAACATACTGTATCCAAGAGTTAGACATAGAAAAAATAATAGATTGCCATGCAGGAAATGCCTTGCAGCCTTTGGCTTCCTGGTGCCAGGGCAGGTAAAGGGGAAAACAGAAAAAAAACAAACAAACAAACAAAAAAACACTTGGGAAAACAAGGACAGAGATTTGGGGAAATAGATTATAAAGCACAATGAAAGCGATATTCTTGCCAATACCTTATGGTATAGAAATCTAAATGATAATGTGTATGTACATTCTTTGCAAAAATAAGTTTTCTCTTTAAATGATGGGGAGAGGCAAGAAGAAAAAAAACCCCACAAAAATCCATTAGCAAGCCCCCAAATATTGCTAGTCATTTTGAACATCAGAATCCTACCTGGTTTACACTTTTTTCCTCCCCACACCCTGGGATTTGCTCTCGGCCACGTGAGGGATGAAGAAGGTACTGGGAACCAGGTACGGTTCCTTCCTTTTTTTAAAAAGTAGAGGTTAAAGGAAAATGGCCACCTTAAAAACACACCAAAAAACACTCACATGGCCAACTGCAGGGTCAGGACCTGCTTAGACTTAAGTATTCAATTTTGAATGGAAACTGAAATTATTCTAGTCTTGGGTGGACAGGGAGAAGAATCTAGGTCCTGAACCAGTCACGAGAGGAAGGTGCAGCAGTCGCTGTCAGCACCTTGAAGGCTTCGCCTCCCTGCTTAGCAACAGAAAGCACACAAAACGCCGGGTGCTCTGCCACGTCCTAAGCCAGAAGGCGCGGGCAGTGTGTTTCCCGGATGCTAACGGAAGCACACACAGCTCCCTCCTCACAGCATAAAACGAAACTGGACGACACACTCTTATTTCCCATTTGCATTGCAATGGTTTCCATAAGAATGTAGTTGAGATTTCCTTTGTTTTTTAAAATTAATTTTCACATAAAAATATGCATGTGCCTATAGTTATACACACATCTGTTCACATACAGTTGTCAAAAATCTTAAAGGCCGGGGTTTATCTCTTTGCTCATCCCCTCCCCCCAACAACCCTAATAGAAAGGTTTTTCATTTTGCTTAAAAAAACTCAAAACCAAGAGGACTGTATAGTTCTGAACAGTCAAGCTGGTGGATCAGTGAATGAGAGGACAGATTGGCAAACCGAGCTGCCCGTCAGCCGTGTGGGTGAGGGGATTAGCTGCCGTGGGCTGAGTTTGCTGGTCCTGAAGGTTACAGTTTTGGTCAGAGAGAGGCCCATCTCGCTTGCCGATTCCGTCTACCTCGAGTTTAGAAAGTAACATCTCACCCTGGTGTCAGTTAATCTAGCAAGTTCCACATTTCTATGCAGTCAGATTGAAAAGGACCAGACAAACAGTGCAAAGGTCAGATAATTACTGTTTTATATCGGGACAGTACATTTCATATTTCAACCAAGAGACAAAAAATGCAGTTTAACTCAAAGGCACAACAATTAAAACACAGAAAATAATGGCATCTCTGAGATGCCTTATTTCTAAATTAACAAATACACAGATTTTGTTCCCTCCCCAATGCAAGCCCACAGGCTTCTCCCAAAGTCTTGAGTGTCTGATGCCATCCAGCATCGTGGACTTGTGAGGCGCTTGAACATAGCTATTCAACAAAATGCTTGTGAGGTCTAGCGAATGGCATTCAAAAGGGACCTCAAAGTGCAGACATATCTTTTCAAACACGTTACAGGCTGAGCTGGCTCTTTGAACACTATCACTCTGCTTAAACTCAGGAAGCAGGCTTTAAAAATGCAGAAGGCATACAAATTGTATTTCAGTGCAAATCTTCAGCTGGTAATTGGAAAAGATTCCAACAATAAAAAAATCCTGTGTGTCACCTGCCCCGCCCCCACTCAAAGCTGAAATGAAGGAAAAACCAGAACAAAATAAACACAGGAGAGTTATACATGACTTTGGGATCATTTAGCAATCCACTGCTTCCAATTAAAAAATTTTTTAATCATTAATTGAGAAAACACAAAAGTAATCTTGCTTTGTTTACATTGCTCTCATGTCTAGAATGAGCTGCTGTGCAGAGTGTTTGAACATTTGGTGTGTGGAGGCGGAGTGGTGAGGCTGTGGCATGCTAGAGACCGCAGGCCAGCGCGGCACAGCTGGCCCCGCGCTGGTTCAGCTGTCGAGCCCTTAGGTTGCAGTGCGTCTGTGGATTCTAGGAATGTTCTCATCACTTTGTGACATACACTCTGTTTCAGCGTCACAGATTTTACAAATGGTTTAAATTCAATGGAAAAGATTCGCCAGAGGCTGAAAATATCAAGACCTCAAAAATATGAATGCAAAAATATTAAGGGGAATGAGCCAATTTGTAGATCCTACATACAAAGTTTCTAGAACATCTATAAAAGCACAAAGTCATAAGAATTCATTTTCCATTACATTAGTTTATATAAAATGAATAAATAGTCTTTATAGATTTAATGTGTCTTATGTACATATACATGTGCTCTGTTTTAGCTTAAATAAAAATGCTACAAAGTGGAGGACCACGTAAGGGAGAAATCATAACCAAGAAGAAAAAATCAGCCTTTTAAACTATCAACCCAAAAGCCTTCATGAAGAAGTTCCGGGTGAGTCCAAAAATAGCGAGGGATTCTAGTAACACGTACCAGCCCCTCCTGTTCCCCTGCAACACAGAGCAGAAACGCGGACTTTCCTTTCACTGGTGGTAGGCACTAGCTCAGCTAGTGTCAAAGCTCAGTTATTGCTGAAAGTTAAATAGGAAAATAGATTAGAATTGGACCAAATGTCACTTATTCTGGGGGAAAAGAGGCATAATCACTTTGTGTTAAGTGGGAAATGGAGATCTAATTTATCTCTGAGGTAGGAAAAAAAAATGTTCCAGAGACAAGTACCATAACAAACTTGGAGAAGAATGCGCATTGGGGATAGCGGTACACAGCGCAGCCCCAAAAACATCACAAAAATAGACGGTGCTATTTTGTTTGTGAGAACGAACAATATTGGAACTTTGATGAGCTGTGCAACCCCAAAGCCATACTCTCCAGGTGTCCACTTCAGAGAGACAGACGCCCATCCGCACGGGGTTCTGGGACTGAGCACGGGGTGCGGGTGTCCCCTGGAGGTATTCCTGCCTCCTCCCTGGGGAGAGGTCTGCGGGTAAGTGCTCTTAAATGCCACTGTCAAAGCCGACTTTGGAGTTCTGAGGTCAGGCTCCCAACTTTGAAGCTTGTTTCCTTCAATCCTAAGCACAAGACACAGTCAGACATTTCTGCTAGGCAAGGAACACAGTAAGCCAGGAAACGTTAAGCAAGGTCTGGCAGGCTACGTGGGGACAGTAAATAAGAGGGGGAAACTGCTGAGATGTGAAAATTGCTTATTCGGTCTAAGAATTCTTGGGTGCTTCAAATCGATTGGAATGTACAGTCTCTCAGACGAATTTCTGTGGAGAGAAAGAGAAGCTCGTGGATGAAATCCTAAGCACTCCTTGCAAACGTTTACAGAGCTGATGTGGTGAAGGTGGTACACGGAAGTTGACGTGCAAGGGAACCGTGGGCAGGTCCAGTACACTACCTACTCAGAGCCGACAGGAGACCACGGGCAGCCGCAGCGACCTCTCTTATAGCCCGAGGCACGTCTTGCGATTGTCCTGGAGCTTTATTCTCTTGATGCTGGCGCTGGAGTAGCCCTCGTCACTGCCGAGGCTCTGCATGCTTCCCCGCTCGTCAGAATCACTCACGCTGCTGCTGCTCCAGTCCAACTCGCCCGTGAGATAGTCTGTGCTTTCAACATCCACATCGATTTCTTCTGTGGGGGGACAAGAGAGACAGTGGTAAAGGCACCCTTCAGAGAGCTCGGGCTGAAAACCCAGGCGACTCCAGGCCAAGCCCTCTGGACACTGGGGCCTAACTGCTAAAAGGAGAGAGGGACTCGTTACTGACGGTCAGCTCAACTTCCCTACATCACAAGCAGGTTCTTATTCCCTCTCTGTCCTGCCTCTGGCCGGTGGTAGAGGGGGTGGGGGGCGAGGACGCAGGGATCGGGGCTCACCCCTGTCGGAGTCGGAGCGCTCGGAGGAGACCGTGGAGCCGATGCTGTCCATTCGTATCCTTTCGATGCCCAGCTTCTCCAGCTGCCTCTTCAGGTGCCGCTGCTCTCGCTGAAGCTGGTCTATTTGGTGAATGGCTTTTCTGTCACAATCTTCAAGTTTCTGCAAGTCAAAGGGGTAGTTAGAGTCCACAGGCAGATTTCACAGTTGGCAATGACCCTGCATCTTCCTCTCTAGCATTGGCTTCTGAAAAAATTGGCAGATTTCCTTCGGTGTGTGAGTAGCTTCGCACAGACAGGAAGTTGACTGGCTTGGGACTCCTGTTTTCGCCTGACACCTTGGGCACGGACAATGCTGTACCTGTGCTGTCACGAGGACTCTAGGGGGGAGCTCTGAGACTAGCCTCCTGGTGCCCCTCACTTTTGATACGGAAAAGACTGCAGGCAGGAACCCCCAACCTGGTCTCCCGTGCCTGCAGCGACACCCTGAACACCTAATCTCCGAACTAGAGCAGTGCATGTGGTGGGAGCTTAGGAAACAGACTTCTATTTAAATGTGTGTTTATTCAAGTGCATGGCCCAATTACATAAGCACTTTTTGCATCATGCCAAATCTCAATTAACTTCTGTTTGTTAGCAGGAAATAATAGTCCCTTTTGAAGTCCTGATTCCAAATTGTCCAACATAAGAGCTTTGAAAAAACATTTCCTTAGACCACTTATTTTTACAAATCTGTCCTCTAGCTTCTCATATTCTTCAGATAATTAAGAAGATTGTTTAATTGTGATTGTTTTGCTCTAAACAGAGATTCCCCCCCCCTCCAAGAAATGTCATGAATGTAGGCTACTAACCATAATTAAAGTGACATTTTCCAATCCTATATAATAAAAGGGTAATATGCAAACTGTCCCCTAGACCAGTAGTTTGACCGGAGTTCAACAGGGGGCGGGGCCAGCCAGACCCCACCCGTGCATGAATTCATGCACCAGGCCTCTAGTCATGACTAGAAAAACATGCTGCAAGAGCCTGAACAGAACTCACTCCCCCTTTGCTATCCCAGCTCCATACTAAGGCTACCTCTGTGCCAGCCCTCTTGGAAGTCCTGGGGATACAAGGTGACCACAGAGACCTGGTCCCCTCCCTGGAGAGTCTATATTCTAAGGATGGAGACAACCAAATAGTCACACAAACCACTACTGGGATGCCAACTGTGACAAGTGCTAAGAGAGAATCACCCAATAATAGGACCACCTGTCACAGAAGAAAGTAACCAGGTCAGGGAAGGTTTCCCTGAGCTAGTGGTATCTGTGCTGAGATATGAAGAATGACAAGAAGTTAAGTAGGTAAAGAGGGGAAAGCATCCAAACAGCATGTAGAAAGGCCCTGTGGACTGAGAACATGACAAGTGCTAGGGACTGAAAGAAGGCCTGGGGCAGAGAGGGTGACACTGCACACAGGTGAGGGGCAGGCCTGGTGGCAGAGTACGTCCTGAACCACAGAAGAATTCTAAACAGGGTGACAGAACTTGAGCTCAGGATGGATTGTTCTTGGGACGCACAGATCAGCTCAGAGGAAGGCACTGCAGGATTTATTACAGATGATGGGTGAAAAGGGAAGGAGAGAGGCTGTGAAATATTTAGGTCTTGGAGACAACTTAGATATATGGCTAAGAAGCAAGAGCTAACAAGGATTGCCCTGAGTTTCTGGCTTGTATAATCCGATGGGCAGTTGGATGGACCACTGAACTTCTGGTGCCTAAGGGTGAGAAACACTCAGATGGGTCTGGACGTGTTGCGTCTGGGGTGCCTGTGATTCATCCAAAAGGCGGGAAGGAAGAGCTCAGAGGTCCTGCAGATATACATTTTGCTGTCCTCGTAACAAACCCTTACTGCTCAGGCAAAGATAAACAGACATCTCAAGGATACACTTACCTTTATGTGCAATTTGGCTGTTGTTAATAAACTCAATGTAGTGTGTCGATTTGATTCAGGCCCGAGCGGCACTAGCCCCTTCAACTTCTCCAGGCACAAGCGAAGTTGGGCCCGTCTATAAAAACAAGATCACAGTAGCATTTCAGAATTTCATGGCAGACCAAAAGGTATGCCTCAAGAACAAGTTCTGAAAGAGTATGAAGTTGCCCAGGCCCAGTGATGTCCAAGACCACCAGTGACCTCTTGCCCAATATATATCTCTGATGAAAACCAAGGAGAAGCAAAATCCAGAGTTTTCTACAGTTAAATCTATTTAAAATACCTGTGTTGGAATAGGGACTAATATCTACTGTTCACCAGGCATATTTATCAGGTTATATCCCGGTTTCTGAATAGAGAATATCCAAATTCAGAAAATAATGACATGCCAGGTGAGAATCCTTTTAAACCATATTTATCTTTACCCATTCAGGACCACTAAGTCACTATAATTACATCATTGCTGTAGACAGTATTTATACATGTGAATGACATATTATTCGTTAAGTTTTATCTGAAATAGCAAAGACAGAAACAACCCCAATGATCATCAATAGGGAGAAAATAAATTAACTAGGGTACATCCATGTAGTGGAGTGCTATGCAGCTATGAAAAGAGAATATGTTCTATGTGCTATTAGGAAAGAACTCTCAAGTATATTAAGTGAAGAAAAGCAAACTGCATATAACATGCTATCTTTGGTAAAAATGGAGGAAATATTTGTGTCTTCTTGTATGGACATAAAATCTAGAATGATACATAAAAAACTAGTAACAGTAGTTGGGCAGAGAGAAGTCAGGGAACCGTCAGACTGGGATGAAGAAAGGGGGATAATTTTCACTGAATAATGTGTTATACTTTTTGGTTTTTCAACCATGTAAGCTACTGCTATTCAAAAGTTAAATATATTTTTTAAAAAATAATGAAAAAGTACCACTGGTAATGCTACATGAACAAGCATGCTGAACAGCTGAAGAGAACCACGTGTATCTCTTGGAGAGTGGCAGAATGGAGCCATGGGACAGAGCGGAAGAGGAGAGAGGCTGGATGAGGCAGGAGCCACAGCAACACACAGAAGAAAGGGCCTTTCGTCAAAGACTGACCAGAAGCACAAAAATTCCTGAATTTTTAGAAATTAATACTTCATTGAAATCTTGGTTTGGATTTTATTCTAGAAGAGGGGTGAGGAACGGCTGGCTCGCGAAATCATTGGGTCTGGCCCTGCCAAGGCATTAGGGGTGAGTTAATTAAATGACCAAATACAGCAGGCTAATTTTTAATGATGTTATAAATGGCCCTGGGCAGGAAAAAAGTTCCCCACCCCTGTTCTAGAACATGGCAGACTCTATGAACATGGCCAAGATTCAGAGTTTTTGTTTCAGCTGCCACCTCCTAAAGCCTTCGCAGGCCTTCCAGCCCATGGAGATTTCGTTTTCTGAGTACTTAGTTATTCATGCTGTGCGCTGGGAGTTGACTGTGCTGATGTGGTGTTTGGCATTGTGACTGAACCATTCACTGCAGGCTCCTCAGAAAGCGGGGACTGCAGCTTCATCACTGCTGTGTTGCCACAGCGCCTCCCCCTCCCACAGGCTTAATAAATGTTTGCCGATCAGATACCATCTAGTCAACTAGACTTCGAGCCCCTCAAGGAGAGTCCACTTCTCCCTTCTCTGGCCTTCAGCAGTGCTCAGGGTCCTGGGGTGTTAGACACAGGCCATTCCCTACACACAATGACCTGAGCAGAGCTCCTAGGAGCCTCCTTGCAGCTGAACTTGAAGAAAACCTTAAAGCTTAGTTTGTCCTTTTCCTCCCTCTTAAAAACTTTACTGTATTAATGGAAGCTGGGAATGCAGACCAAAAGGAGAAAACCATCAGAAAGCTCTACGATAGGTCAGTATGCAAGGAAGTCAGTTCACACCCTTCATATCAAGACTTCAGGTGACACCCCAAGGCAGATAGATCTGACCAGGGGTGCACTTGACAGCCTTTTGAGCCACTGCCTCATCTGCTTCTGAGCCTCCTTCCTCGTCTGGATCTTAAAGGAGCTGTTCTACATTCTCCAAGGGCCCTCTCAGCCTTAATAAGCTCGAGAAGAACAGCTCTCATTCCTGAGCCAGGAAGACTGAATGGGACAAATGCCTAACTATATTATAAGACTTTCACTTGCTCTGAAAACCTGTCCATTTGTTGTGGTCACAAGCAAAGACTCACATTAGAGGTCTGTTCCTCCTTCTGCATGGGGGCGGGGGAGCAGAACCTGTGTAAAATGTACTTGTTCACCGTGGATAATAATATTCTTCAAAAAGAGCAGTGAAAATCTATCGTTACTAGAAACACCATAAGAAAGTATACTCAGTCACGTACTTACACATACAGTTATCCAACTTATTTCTTACTACAAAGTTTATAGACTAATTGTTGAGTTAGGAAAAAAAGCTCAGAAATTAAAAAGAATTGGACATTTTTCGGTTGGCTTGTTATTTGCAAAGACTGCATGATTCAGAACAGAGTCACATTAGTCTTTATGATGCAGGTTTATCTACAGATGAGTATGTAAATTTTTTAGGAAGTTTGTCTACTGATAAAAATATAATAGTAAAGTCATCTTTCCATGCACCGTCATTCTAGTTACACAGGGAGTCTAGCCCAGAAAGTATTTTCACTACCCAAATGTGGGTTTCCAAAGAACACTCCCAGTTGTGAAACTAGAAATAAGCAATTTGACTAATTTGAGCTGAAGGTAATACATGTTCACTTGGTGTCTTCTGGTCTCGTTCTATGAAAATAGGACCGAAGTGCTTTCTGGCACGTTCCTAGCGCCTCACTGCTCCAGCCTGAGGGCCGCCCTGCCCACCTGCCACCTGCCTGCAGACACACCCCTGGTTGGTGTCTGGTAGGCTCAGTTCCATCACAGAGCAGTGATATTCAATTCCTGAACCAGATAACAAAATTATACAGACATCTCTGTAACAACTCCCCCTGAGGATCCTCAACCCTGAGACACAGACAGACACACAGACACACCCTCCACCCTGGGACCTGGACTCCTGCAGCCAGCCCTGAGCACCCATGGAGCTCCCAGATCCAAAGCAAGCAGAACAAGCCCTTGTCTCAGCTCTCCCCTCAGTCCTGATAGCTTCCTGCCCAGGGATCTGGTTTTGCAGGAGGGGCCTGGGGACCACTTTTGAACCAGGTCCAACTCCCCTTTGGGGAACTGGCAGGGTTTTGTCACATATCCTCAACAGGAAGCCACTAGACGCCTCGCCGTGACCCCTCCGTGCGTCTCCTCCCATCACATCTTCAGACAGTCCCGCCTACTGCTGCCAAGAGCTGCCCCCCCACTCCCCACCCCCAGCAGAAGAGGGTTTTGCCAAATCCTGGCTCCCTTCGGCCCCAGGCTGCCACTTCTTTTTGCCATGATCCAACTGCTCTGTACCAAGGTCATGAACTTTGACAACGTCACCTGCTGACTCTTCAGAACTGTTGCTTTAATTATTCTGAATGGGCTGACACACCTTTGGTCTACAGTAGCATAAAGAAACCAATCTTTGATCTGAGCTATAATCAGTAACACTCGGAATCAAGTGTGGCCTATAACTACATGAGATATAAACTATAGTTTCTTGTCAGTAAGTTTTTAATATCTCAAATTTTATTTACTTTTGTTTTTAATTATTTTAAAATCAATCTGTCAATCTCTATACAACCCAATATTAGTATAGTAATGAAGAGTCAAGTTTTGGGACCCTGACTCTGGCCCTTCCTCCCTGTGCGACCTTGAGCAAGTTTCTTTACTCCATGGAGCCCTCATTTCCTCAGCAGAAGGGTGGCAATGCCCACCTGAGGGCCGTGTGATATTAACTGAGACAAGGCGGGGAAGCCCCTGGGCCAGGTCTGACATGGAGTACTCCATTTCTGGTAGCAGTTATTCTTTCAATCCTCGCTTCCTCTGTAGAAGAGTAATTACTGGGAGCAAACCCATAATCATAGCTCTATAATATTTCTTTAAAATCAGTAGGGAACTCCATGTCTCACTAGGTAGATAGAGGCTAGCTGATAAAATCCAATCACTAAACTCGTCCTTAAAGAAAATAGATCTCTTCTGCCATTAAAACATGGACAGTCTTACCCATTTTCTATGGAAACACAGATCTTGCTTATGCTAAAAGCACTTTTGTTTTACATTATAAAATTAGCACAGAGTTTATAAAGCCATTGCATGCGAAAGGAGAAGATTCCTTCAGGCCACCCACATCACGTAGAGGCAGCGGACGGAGGGACTTAAAGGAGGGAGGGCACGTCCGAAATGCCTGGCCTCTACTGCGATGGCCAAAGGAAAGGAAAGATAGGGGCAAAGTGCTGATCTTGGAACTTCCAGCATATCTCTACATGTGTTTCCAAATCCAGAGGCCCTAAAACACCTAGCACAATAGCAAGAAGAAAGGATGGCATGTTCCAGAACAAACTTAAAACCGTCTGGGAAGGATCTCTGGGAAGAAAATGACCAAACGTTGCCGAGAGACATAAGAAAATTTGAATAAATGGAAAAAACAGCAAATTCCCAGAAATGAATCCTCAAAGTAAAAATGTCAATCTTACTAAGTTTATCTATATATTTAACATAATTCCAAGAAAAAAATCCCAACAGTATTCTTTATAATACTGGGAAATTAGTTTTAACTTCATCTAGAAGAATAAATGTGTGAGAGAACGACTGCCAAAATTTTTTAAGAAGAAGAATGAGGAGGAAATGTGATATTGAATTGTATTATAAAGCTTCAATAATTAAAAACAGTATATACTAATACAGGAAGAGACAGACAAATCAAGTGAACAGAATCAAAAATTCCCAGGAAGAGACCAAAGAATAGATATGAATTTAGCATTTAGTGGAAATAGCACTGCAAATCCTTGGGGGAGTGGGGAAAGGATTAGTCAGAAAATGGCAGGGAAGTGGGGAGACTAACATCAAAATAAATTCCAAATATATTAAAGATTTAAATATAAAATGCATCTGGATGCCATGCACTTCTGTTGTTAGTTTTCCTTAACTATTGTCAGCCATGAGTCTGAGA